GCCAAGGGACACTCCCAGTGCATGGGGATGCAGCTGCTACCCTGAGGAAGTGTCCAATCTAAGGAGAGATTCTCTTTCTGGGAGCCAGGCCACACCTGCCCAGGAGGAAGGCACTTGAGCGTTGAAGCTAGGTAATAAAAGTGAGTGCCAGTTAACAGGGAGCATCTAGCCTCTCAGCCTCTGCAGGGCAGGTGGGGAGAGAGAAGAGCAGAGTGGGCAGGTGGGGCTTTGAGGGACTGGAGGTGGGAAAGAGCCTAAGTACTTCCGTGTCCCAGGATCCCCTTTGTAGGACAAAGGGGTACATGTGTGTGAGCTCCTGCAAAAGTTCCTCAGGAAGGAATAGGGAGAGAGAAAGGGGGAGAAAAAGGGGAGAGAAGGGCAGAGGGTGGAAATGGACTGGTCGTGCTGGCATCTTGCAGCCTGTGGGAAGCTGGCATATTTCCCCTATCACTTTCTGAGGCCTGGGTTCTTTCCCTTGGTTTCCAGCCACCCTTCCCTTCCTTGTCCTGTTTTTCAGCTCTGGGCCTCCTCTGGGCATTCTGGCCTCTGGGTCACTGTTTAGGACAGAGCCTTAGGGAGCTGATGCAACTCTGCCTGGAATGGTGGGTGTCATATGTACCTATGCTATGTCTTGGGTCCACCCTAGTCATGGTTCCTGGAAGCCCATCAGAGGGATGTGGCCGGGAGGGACAAAGGGGAAGAGAGATTGAGTGTGCTCATCCCTGGGAGAGGAGTCACTGGTGGCCCCTGGAGTGTTTCAGGGGCACTAGGAGACCTGTTACCCTGCCTCTCCAAAGTAGGAGGAGTCTGACGAGCAGGCAGCAGAATAGCGCATCACCGGGAAGGTCCTTGGGAGTGGAGGGTGTGGTCTCTTTTGGAGCCACAGACAAATCATTAGTGGGTGGATCTGGGTGGAGCACTGGGGCCTTAGGGATAGAGGCCAGGAAACAGAATGGAGGAAACAGGAAGATTCCACTTGAGGGTGGGGCAGGCAGGTGCCACTGGAGGAGAGTGCACTTTCAAGGGGATACCTGGTCATGGGTGGGGACTACTTAGGGGTGTGAAGTGAAGGCCTGGGAGCCTGAGTGTGCTGGCCCTGCCTTTCCCATCCTGGGCAAGGTGCCAGGTGAGAGGGTTTTAGTGACTGTGGGGCCAATGGAGAGGAGCTCACTGAACCCTACTGGCAAGGGCCTGGGGGTAGAGTGAGGATCTTTGGGGTCTTGTCTTCATGAACCAAGCTGGGAGCCCACCTCAGGCTCTGGGGCCCTTATTCCCCCAGTCACTTTTTTTTTTTTTTTTTTTGCGGCACTGGGGTTTGAACTCAGGCCTATACCGTGAGCCACTCCAACAGCCATATTTTGTAATGTGTTTTTTCTTTTTATGAATTTTTTAAATTAGGAAATATTCATTATGCAGGAGGAGGATTAGTGTGACAATTCCAGTTAGACATATTGTACATTGGTTACATTGCCCCCATCGTCTCTCCCCCTCAGTCCCCTCCCCACCCCACTTAAAGCAATTGCAAGAGGTTATTTAGTTCTGTTTCATATAGGTATTTGAAATCCTGTGATGTGTTTTTTCGAGATAGGGTCTTGCGAACTATTTGCCCAGGCTGACTTCGAACCACGATCCTCCTGATCTCTGTCTCCTGAGTAGCTAGGATTACAGGCATGAGCTACCCGTGTCCGGAGCCTCATCACTTGATATGACCCTTTTCTTTGGGGGGAAGATAGGTAGCCATGTTCCCTTCCTGGAACCCTGTCTCCACTCCACCAACCACCTAGGCTCCATGGCTCTAACAAGTCAACAAGCATTTACACAGCACCTGCTTTATACAAGCCTAGTCCTGCCTCTAGGCACAGGGACAGGATGAGCCCCATCCTAGAGGTTGGCCATTGATGCTTGAGGTCCTGTAGGAGGCAAGTTCAGCTGTGTGTACTTGGCATGACCTTGTCAACATAATGTGTATCTACTGAACATCAACTGTATACAGGGCTTCCCGATTACTCTATACCCTCAGTCTAACATCAACGTAGTGGGGGTGAGCAAGCAAATGACGTCTCACACAGCTCACTGGTGCTACTTGAATCCAAGACAGGTTAGTCCAGAGTGCATTCTGGAGCCTGATGGCTATTCAGTCATGTCTGGAGAGGAGACCCAGGGCCTCTGGTGGTGGCCATGCCTAGGGCTGGCGTGCAGGGCTCTGGGGGCCACTTCAAATTCTCCCACCTCCCTGGGGGCTTTGTCTAGCTCCCGGCTCCCACATGTGCTTGACTTCAGCAAACTCTGGGGCTGGTAGGGAGGTGCCGTTTGGATCTTTTCCTCTTCACTTTCCTTGTGGGCCCAGCTGCTGACATCCACGGGGATTGTTGGGGCCTCTTCCTCCCGGGGGTGGAAGACAGGCCTAGGCATGAGACTCACAGCTCAGTGGACCTCTCTGCAGCCCTCTGGATGCCCCTGCCCGACCTCCTCCCAAGAGTGGGAGCTTGCTGGAGGCTCTGGCTCCCGGCCCAACTCTGATGCTGATTCTGGACCCAACTGCAGCAAATGCACTGTGCCTTGGTTTCCTCAGAGTGTTGTGAGGATCTGAGGAGGAAAGTTGTGTTTTTCTTTTTTTCAGCTCTGTCTAGGGATGGTCAAATGCTCTAGAGGGTCAGGGAGGCCTTCTAGTTAGCCATCTGATGCTTCATTTTAACTTTGGCCTCCCCTCCCCAATGGGTCTCCCATTTGGGTCAAATGAGTTTTCTAAGAGCAGAAACAAAGTCAGTGATTCCCAGGGCAGAAACTGAGAAATGGGGAAACTGAGGCCCAGAGAAGAAGAGCAGGATCACAGCAGGAAGTCTCCTGTCAGGGACAAGGGACCTTGCTGGAGCCAAGCCACGGTAGTGGGGGATGGAGCCTTGGTGGCTTTAGAGGGAGAAGGAAGGTTAATAAGCTCTGATTCCTGACAATGGGCCTCAAGGCTAAGATCTGGGGTCTTTGGAAGTAGAATGTAGGGATCATTTCTGTCTCCCAAGGTCTGTGAGAGAGTCTGGAGAAACAGTGTCATCAGTCAAATTCTGGCAAAATGGGAGGCAGGGATGAGAATGGGGCTGGGATCTGAGCCCAGAGGGTTAGGGTAACCTCCCTGCACCTCTGAGCCCCTGTGTGAGGTCAGACTGGGTTGGGGAGGCCTTGGAGATGCACAAGCCTGGGCTGTGGGCTGCGAGGAGGGACATGGAGGGCAGGAGGCAATGGTGGCTGGCCACCTCCCCACCCCTGGCTCACTCCAGATTTGAACCGTCTATTTCCAGAGTGTGAGGCTTGCTTGAGGGGAGGCAGGGTTGGGGGAGGCCAGTCAGCTCCTGGGGGGGAAGGGGCTCTTAGGAGTGTGGCTCTGATAGGGAAGAGGAGGGGCCTTCATCGTATACATTCCTTGGGAGGTGGTGGGCTAAAGGACCTGCCTCTGGGCCTTGCTGGTGAACCCAGGTTCTATGGGGTCTCTTTCGCCAAGACAGCCTGGATTGCCAGGAAGTCCTTCCTGATGTCTAACCTTGTGGTGGTCTGACCTTGCTCCCTAGCCTTAACTTTGAGCTTCCCCCTACCAGCACCCTTCATAGGCAAGGCGAATGGAGGATAGAGCCGGGGACTCACCCTTCTCTCACAGATGGCTTTTGCCAACTCCCCCAGACCCCCAGGCACTCTCCAAGCATTGGGTACCAGCCTGGGAGAAACCACCCACTTCAAAGCAGGAAGTCTTTCCAGCAATCTAGCCTCATCCCAGGAGCTCTGGGCCACACTGGAAACCCAATTCCCTCCTAGGCAGGGAGCCCAGGCCACCCGTGCACCTCCTGCCTCTGTCCCATCCCTGGGGCCTTGGCTACCCCTGGAGGCTCCACATTCAGACAGGCCCTGTGTGGATGCCAGAGTCCTGGCCGCTCCTAAATCATTTGTACCGCTGCAATTAGACTGCTAATCTCCTTGTTGGGTGGGGTGGGTGTCATGATGTGAGATTGTTGGGCTCTCTTGCAGGGGTGGCTGCGGGCTCTGGGGACTGGATGAGGCTCTTCCTCAGGGCACTGTGCTGAGTACAGGGCACCCTGGTAATAACCCTCCTTCTCCACAGCCTTCCTCTCCCCTTGTACCTCCTCTGGGAGCCCCCTGGACTGACTTTCCTCAGGTGTGGGAGGAATGAATGGGGAGGTCACCTTAACCCTCTAGCCTGTCCCTCAACTCCCTAAACCTGCCTCCCATTTTCTCAAAGCTAGACTAATGTCACTATCTCTCCAGATTCCCTAAGGACCATGGGAGACAGGAATGACCTCCCTTTTTAAGTGAGGAAACTGAGGCTCCTGCAATGACTTCCAGAATCTCAGGTACAAATCTCCGTTAGGTTAGTGGCCATATTTATCCCTCAGTTCTCAGGGAACCCCCCAGGCCTGGGGCTGTGTCTCCTTTCACAGACTTGGAATAGTCCCAAGAGAGATGGGAGCTCCCTCAGGTCAGACTGGGAGATCTGTCAGGGCACCTGGGGAAGGATGTGGGGCTCCAAGGCTCCTCACCCTCTCCCTGCGGCCGTGGAATGTTGAGTGGGGGGCCAGACCGGCCTTGTGGCTCCCGGGCCTGTGTAGCCTTGTTCAAGGCCCTTTCCTGGCTCCTGGGCTGGATTCTCCGGACTCCCCCGAAGAATGAGCTCAGCATCTTAATTGCAGCTGAGCATGGATGATCATCCTACCCCTAGGCTGCAGCTCCAATACCACCTTTGTTTTGGAACAAAACAATGGACCACTAAGAGGCCACTATGCCCAGGCTGGGCCAAGCAGGGAGGGGATGAGGATAGACGCTTCATGTCCAGCCCAAGCCCCAGGCCCTGGGCAGTTGGTACAGAGGCAAATTGCACAGCTGGGGTTTTGGCTTGGACTTCAAGGGCCAGGGGCCCAGCCTCCCTTCAGCCTGGCTATAAAGGGTGGTGACACAGGGGCTCTCTTCAAACCAGACCGTGTGCCTGACCCGTGGACACCATGGCTGCCACCACCACCAGCATCCACCAGTTCTCCACCTCTGGCTCTATCAAGGGCCTATGTGCACCTGGTGGGAGCTTCTCTCGGATGTCTTCCGTCCGCATTGGGGGTGCCTGTAGGGCCCCCAGTCTCCTGGGAGGTGGCAGCTGTGGCAACATGTCGGTCACGTCGTCTCGCTTCTCCGCGGGCTTGGGGGGTGGCTATGGTGGCGGCTACACTTGTAGCCTAGGTGGTGGCTTTGGCTCTAGCTTTGGCTCCAGCTTTGGTGTATCAGATGCCCTCCTGGGGGGCGGTGAAAAGGAGACCATGCAGAACCTCAATGACCGCCTAGCCTCCTACCTGGACAAGGTGCGTGCCCTGGAGGAGGCCAATGCTGACCTGGAGGTGAAGATCCGGGAGTGGTACAAGAAGCAGGGCCCTGGGCCTGCTCGTGACTACAGTCACTACTTCAAGACCATTGAGGAACTGAAGAGCAAGGTGGGAGCCTCTGTCTGCCCTCTCCCCGAGTACCTGTTTTGGAATCACTCCATCCCAACTTCAGACCTTCTCAAGCAATTCTCCCCACCCTAGATCTCTGGTGTTCATTCACTTACTCTTTCTCTGGACCCAGCCCTGTGCCAGTCTCGGGTCCCCAGCTTGCAGGACACCCTGTGCTGTGAGGTTGATGGAGGACAGTGGAGGGCTCCTCCTTCCTAGGGGAGCAAGTCTGGGGTGGGGACATCTTCAGGATTTGAGGCAGGAACTGGCATTCCAAGTATAGAGGATGGCCTGGCAAAGATAAGAGGTGAGGAAGCATTTGGCATGGCTGTAGGCACATGAGGCTGCACATCTTCTTCCCACTCTTCTGTTTCCCGCTGGGGCTGCCATCCTGCCTGCCTTACGTCCTCCAGGCAGCCCTCATGCTTTTCATCTCCAGATCTTGGGGCATCGAGGCTCAGCCTATGCCCTGTTCCTTTTGCTGATTCACAGAGTCTTTTCATGGCTGTTTTACTTGTGGGTCTTCTTCACTTTCTCTATGGTGGACATTCCTGAGGTCAGGAACTGTGTCTCCCACTCAGATTGGAAGGTAGTCAGGTGGAGGAGACCCTCCTCTCCTTCCCCACACTGTCATGATCTCTAAGAAGATGACTTTAGCATTCTGCAAAGGTGGTCTCTCCAGTCTTGGCACGAACCTGCTCTGGGAGAGTCCCCAGTGCTGCACTGCAGAGGCAGGTGGGGGTTGTGGAAAGCAGTGAGGCAGGCTGGGCCTGGGCTGGTCCTGGGTGGTGTGACCTGCCCAACTCTGGGTTGGAGAGCAGCCTGGTACTGCCTGGCAAGGGGCTTTGCCTGCTCCTGCCTAGGACCTCCACCAGGCAGGGAATTCCTGTAATTTCCCCTTGGAAGCTGAACTCCTGGCAGTGCCAGATCAGATACTGGGCTTGGTTGGGGTGGCGGGGAACCTAGGGGAGCTCTGGTGAGTCAGTGATCTGGGTGTTGGGGTCAGCCAGCACCTCATCATCATCAACCCTTCTGAGCCCTCTCCCACCTAGGGGTTTTACAACCACCCTTGCTGTGCCCGCTCGGCCTCCTGAGCACAGAGGTGGGTGAGGGCCTGGTCTCTGCAGACTATGGGTGAGAAACAAACTGGCTCTTGAGCTTGGTATGACCTAGGGTCACTTCACAGAACTTAGAGTGTCAAGTAGAGTTTGGCAGGGCCCCTGGGAGGGGCTCTGGGGCAGCCTTAGATGCTCAGGGTGGGCCTGTTTCTCCCTCTTGGGTCTTCTATGCTGCAGTCCTCAGCCTTGAAATGTGCCCACCTCTACCCAGCCAAGTTCTTCTCTCTGCTCCCTTTGGGTGGCATGGAAGACCCTCCTCTCTTCTGTACCCCATTCCTCTCTTGAGCATTCCTAATAATATAACAATGCAATAATAATAACCAGCTCTCTGTTCCTTCTTGGGCACTTCCCTTCCACATTTTTATTTCGACCACACAGATGCCTTGTGGGTAAAGAAAACTTTGCCCCAGATTTGAGATGGGACTGGTTAGAACCTCATCAATCAATCAATTAATCACTTAATTAGGCAAATGCACCCTTGGGGATAGATTCTCAGCCAGGCACTGTGCCCAGCCCTGGGATTCCAAAGAGAACAAGGCTGAAGTGGCCTCATTCCCCTGTGGCTCAGTCTAGTGGAGGAGGAATAACCAAAAACATCGTGGAAAGAGGGATAAGGGAGCATGCAACCTGGAGAAGTGCAGGGAAAGAGGTGGGTAAGAAAAGAGGACCCAGGAGGGCTTCCTAGAGGAGATGATAAGTAAGCCTGGAGGTGAATTTAATTGGAGAGCAGAAATGGGGAGTCAGGTAGCTTGCACCCCATGTTGAGAGGGGTGTATGAGGGTCTCTGTCCTGGCATCCCTGTTTACATGTGATAGGGCATCATTCCACTACCACTCTGCCAGTTCCCTAAAGGCTCTGGCAGCTCCTGAAATTCACAGCTGGTGCCCAGAGAAGCCTCATCATCCCTACTCTGGCTCATTCTCCAAAAAGCTGCAAGATGGGTGTTGCAGGGTCTCCCCTAGCTGCCCAAAGTGTTTGCTCACCAACCTCCATCTCCCCTAGATCCTGGCAGCTACGATTGACAACGCCAATTTCGTGCTGCAGATCGACAATGCCCGCCTGGCAGCTGATGACTTCCGAACCAAGTGGGTCTGGGTCTCCTGGCTGCCCCCCAGGGCTGGTGGTGGGGTCTCCAGCTCTGCATGCCAAGAGTGCTCTGTGTGGTCCAGGGTTGTTCACAACCCACACCTCCAACTCTGCCAGGTATGAGACAGAGCTGAACCTGCACATGAGTGTGGAGGCCGACATCAACGGCCTGCGCAGGGTGCTGGACGAGCTGACCCTCGCCAGAGCTGACCTGGAGATGCAGATCGAAGGCCTGAAGGAGGAACTGGCCTACCTGAAGAAGAACCACGAGGAGGTGAAACTCAGGAGAAGGCTGCCTGGGAGCTAGCAAGACTGGGGCTGCAGAATGTCCCCAGCTGTCGGGGCATATGCTAGGCCTAGTTAACAGCCTTGGTGGGTTCCTGGTTCTTGTCGGGCCCTGACCTTCAGAGGACCCTAGGGCTCTGGTGCCCTCCTCTGAAGATACTTCTTTTATCCCTCTAGGTTTGGCTCACTGTATGGTGGCAGTTAACTCACTAATGAGTGAATCAGTGTAACACACAATGCTAATTATTATGATTAATTATAATAGCGATAGTCATAACAGCAGGGCTCATTTGATCAGCACATTACAAATGAGTCACAGCAATTATTTTAGCTGATACCGACAATTGGGAGAAAGATACTCTTCTCCCTTTTTGCCAGTGAAGAAACTGAGGCTCAGAGAAGTTAAGGAATTTATTCCAAGGCTGCACAAGGACCTGGCCTCAGGTCTGTCTGACTCATAGCCACATCCAGTCTGATTCTACCTTTCTGCCACCTCTTCTGCCTGCCTTTTCCAGAGACCTCTGGGTTTTAAGTATCTCAAGATTTTAGCCCAAGGATGGAGATCTAATGCCCTGCTGAGGTCTTCTGTTTCCCTATCTTTGTGACTTCCCTCTTGGCTGGCTGCTGGGCCCTCCTGGGGAGGGGAAGGTGAATTCCCAAGTGCCAGTCTACCCAGAATGGGTTTTCCTTTAGCTTTGAGGCTGGCTGTGCAATTACTTCCCCCCTGGTGAGTAACATTTCCTAATGAGGCCTGACTCTGGTTGATGCCATATGACATAGGGTCACTTTTCCCATGCTTGTGTTGTAGGGTCAGTGATAGGGGAAAGGGCAGGTGGTCAGGGTGATGAGTGAGGTTGCCTTTGCCCTTCCTCCACCATAGTGGGGAGTTACTATCTCTCTCTGCCTCAGTGCACACTGGGGACATTCACAGAGTGTGTTGGAAGAGATCTTTGGTACCAATGACATCTGCCTCTGCCTTCAGAGTGAGGAATTGTTGTCCTGTCTGTCTGTCATGTGCACTTGTCTTTCTGAGGTCCCAGGGTCTCTACCCAGCATGGCCCCAAGAAAGCTCCTACTGTCCTCTCTGCCCAGGAAATGAATGCCCTTCGAGGCCAGGTGGGTGGAGATGTCAGCGTGGAGATGGATGCAGCCCCTGGGGTGGATCTGAGCCGCATCTTGAATGAGATGCGTGACCAGTATGAGAAGATGGCAGAGAAGAACCGCAAGGATGCCGAGGACTGGTTCTTCAGCAAGGTGGGTGGCCGTGTGGGAGCAGGTGTGCTTACGTGTGGCCACATGCACTACGGCTTGCTGGCGCGGGCTGGAACACTCACTCATACCCAGTCTCTCCCAGCTGGAAGGACCTTTGGAAACCACTTGCTTTAATGTCAAATGAGAGGCCCAGACAGGTCTCAGGCTCATGCAGCCCTCTACTGTGGCCTGGGAATTAGGTCCAGGTCTCCACAACCCAGTCCAGGGCTCCTCCCACCACAGGTGTTTGCAGGACACCTGTGTAATTCATGCACTGGGTAAATGCATAGTGAGCATCTGTAGGGTCCCAGGGACAGTGACAGGCCCACAAAGAATAGCTGGGAGACAGCCTTTGAGGTGATGGAGGTCAGTGTCTGTGGGGGTAACAAGTGCAAAGGACTAGAGAGCATGGTGAGTTCCACTAAGTTCCATGTGGACACCAAGGGGTGCTGGGTGCCCATGCCTTTGGGCTCCATAGAAACTGGAGCCATCCTGGGGGTGCCATTCTGGGAGGGAAGGGCTTAGGGACAGCTCCTCCCTCTGCTCCCCTCTGACAGCCTGCTTAAACCCCTGTGTCCCACCCTGCCTTCCAGACAGAGGAGCTGAACCGTGAGGTGGCCACCAACACTGAGGCCCTGCAGAGCAGCAGGACAGAGATCACGGAGCTCCGCCGTTCTGTGCAGAACCTGGAGATCGAGCTGCAGTCCCAGCTCAGCATGGTAGGGCCTCTGTCCCCTCCTGCTTTGTATCTGTCACCTGGCTTTGTCTTATGGACCCTTAAATCTATTTGTTGGCTCACAGAAAGCATCACTGGAGAACAGCCTGGCTGAGACAGAGGCGCGCTATGGGGCCCAGCTGGCCCAGCTGCAGGGACTCATCAGCAGCATTGAGCAGCAGCTGTGTGAGCTGCGCTGTGACATGGAGCGGCAGAATCATGAATACCAGATCTTACTGGACGTGAAGACCAGGCTGGAGCAAGAGATTGCCACCTACCGCCGCCTGCTGGAGGGCGAGGATGCCCAGTGAGTTGGCGGGGAGGGGACACAGACATCTGCTGGGGTGGGCTGGAGGCTGCTTTGTTCAGGAGTAGTGTTTTGACACCAGCATAACTAGGAGGTGTGAATGGGAAGGTATGCAGGGATGAAAGAACAAAGTGGGATCTGACTGTGAGGAGCCAGCCAAAAGCACCTAGATTAGATTGTGGAGGTAATGGGGAGCCATGGAGGGATTTGGAGCAAAGGTATGGTTGTCTAGATGTTTTAGAGCATTCACTCTGGCTACAGAAAGAGAGATGTACCAGAGGAGTCAGGGTGGGCTGGAAGGACCTGTCAGGAGGCCGGGGAAGGGTCCTGCTGTATGGCAGGGGCCAGGGCATGCAAGCAGAAAAGAGGTTGTAGCTAAAAGCAGCAGGACCGGATGCTCAAGGGTGGGAGTGACTGTGACTTGCAGTCAGTGCTCAATAAATGTTGAGTGAACACATGGAGGAGTGGGTAACCATGACTTGGGTTTCTGGTTCAGATGACTGTGTGGCTGGTGATGCCACTAGCCAGGAGGATGTAAGAAGCAAGGCGGGTGGTGATCTGATCTGGTTTGGAGTTGGGAATGTTGATGGAGGTCCCAATGTGAAGGGCTTGAGGGTGTCCTGGGGTCTCCATGCTTAGTTACACATTCCAGCTTTTTTGTTCCCTGACATTGGTAAAGTCCATGTATAGTCTGACTATAGTTTCTTCTACTTTAATTGAGTCTTTTTTGGGCCCTTTGGGATATGAAAAAACTACTTCCTCAGCTTCTCCTTGTAAATCTTGGGTTAGTGGCCACAAAGTAGCCACAAAATGCCCTTGGGCTGTTCCTTTTCTTTCTTCTGCTGCACAGAGCCTGTGCTGTTTCATCCTTGGCCTGGCTGTTCTTCATGCACTCCTGGTTGTGATTTCTTATTTTTGTGAGGCCCTTTCTCTCCAACTGGGGTCTCCCCAGATGCTGCATCACCCAAGCAGACTCCCAGGGGCCCACTGTCCAGTTGGTCCCTTCTGGGTTGACAGGTCCTCTTTCTTCCTGCAGCCTGGCCACTCAGTACTCCTCATCCCTGGTCTTGCAGCCCACCCGGGAAGGTAAGAGCTGCTCTCTTCTGCTCATGTGAGGAACAGTTAGACCTAAAGGGAGGAGAGAGACTGAGGACCCTTCTGTGCGGTGGGTGATGTAGGGCCTCCTGCCTGAGACTCCTTGTGCCCTCTCCTCTACTGCCAGCAGCCATGGTGACTAGCCGCCAGGTGCGCACCATCGTGGAGGAAGTCCAGGACGGCAAGGTGGTCTCCTCCCGTGAGCAGCTCCACCGCTCGACCCACTGAGTCTCCTTTCTGCATGTGACAGCCTAGCTTCAAAGGCCAAGTGGCAGCCATTGCCTCTAGATCCCAGCACATACCCCTCCCTACACGCCCAAGTGCCCATCTGGGCTCTCCCCACAAGCTGCTGCCTTTCTGTATTTACTCCCTGCAGTCCCTGACTTAGGGCCTCCTGGGTTTACCCCAGTGACTGCTAATAAAGCTTTGCTGGAAGTTCAGTCATTCGACTTGTGATCTGTCTGTTTGTCACCTTGGGAAGTGTGGGCTGAGGGATTGGGGAGGAGGAGAGTTCACTAAGCATTTGGTATCGCTTGTTGCCTGCCCACCTGCTCTGCCCACTCCATCCAGGCCTGGGACTCCTGGGAAGGTGCACGGGAGGAGGTGGAAGAATTGAGGGTGGAGGCCTGGGATAGCCTGCCAGGCTAGGAACATTTCTAAGAATTAACCTCTGGGGTCTTGTCTCCTGAGGCTGGTTCCATGGGCCACGCCTGTTATATAGTGCTCCATGCATCAGAGCAGAGGGAAGAGGGGCCTAGCAGGGGGCTTTCCAAAGGAGTGGTCCAGAGAATTGATGGATGAGGGGGAGGAAACACAGCCAGCCCAGGAAGCCAGACCGGCTCTTCCCACCTCGTCTGGGGGTGTGTATGGGGCGGGGTGGCATTTGTCTGTGTGAGTGTGGGGGGCGTCCTGTTTGCTTTAGTGACTTGGCAGCTGCTGGGCTATTGGGGAATCTCTCTCACCTGCTGGCGGGGTCTGTCTGGGCCTGTCTGGAAGGTGGAACCCATTGGCAGCCTGCAACAAGACCACATTCCGCCCAGCAGGCCTCCTGGGACCCTGGGACCCAGGGCTGGGCTTGCAATGGTGGGCAGGGCAGGGTGGAGCCACGGGGTGGGGCACAGGGCCCACCCTGGGAAGTCACATCATGGGGACCTTGCAGGAAGGGTGCTGGGAGGAATACCCTTTAGTTTTCTAACTAACTGGGACTTGAGATATATGCCCCTCCCCTTACCCTGAGGTCTCTTGGGGGACAGAGGGGCAAGGAATATAGAAGAGACAAGCCCCTCACAGTCCTTCAGATCTTCCTCGTAACATGACATCTTTCCTACAACCCCCCTTTCCTCCTGGCCCTGGATGCCCCACTTGTAGGAAGGAGGTAGGGAAAGGTTTAGAAGAGGAGGCTGGGCTCCCAGGGGATCTAGTAATGGGGGCAGGGTCAGAAAACTGGCCAGATGGGGACTCTGTCCAGATGTGTTTTTGGATGCTTGGGCTCCACAGAAGGGGGGTTCTGTGGGGATGGGTGTTGTGCCTTGGCAAGGAAGAAGGATGCAGCCCTGCCAGCCCAGTTCTGCAGTGTGGTGGGGCTGTGTAGATACTGCATCCCTCACTAAGCCACGGTTCCTGTCTGAGGCCTGGTTACCGAGGTTTGAGGGAGTTTCTGTGTCTTATGGTGGGTCTGGCGAGTTTAGGTCCAGATTCTAAGGCAGGATGGGCACACAGTCCTTTCTCCCTCCCCAGCACTCAGCCTTTGGCCTGCCACGTATGTGGGGAAGGAAAGCAACCTCAGGCGGGGGCTGCCTGACTCCTTGCTCCATTTCCCCATCAGACCCAGAGTCCAGGTAGATGGATTGGGGTGGCAGCTTTCTGGGAGGGCTGGGTGACGTCGCTTACTCTTCTTCTCCGTATTAGGTCATGGGAAAGCATAGCTGGAGGGCCTGCCTGAATCACAGGTGACAGGCCCGAGACTAGAGACACACACATGTACATGCACACGACATCCAACACGGGGGTTCGGAGAAATGAAGCAGAGCCTGATGGTGGGAGTGGAGGGGGCCCGTAGCCACCTGGGAGCTGGCAGACGGCCAGGGGTGATGAAAGCCCAGGGGAATGGAAACAGAGCAGCGAGTCTGTTGTAATCGCTACGCCCACTTGCCGGCCTATAAAGGAAGCAGGCGAGTCTTGGCAGCAACACACACCTTGGCGCCTCTGTCTTCCTCTGGAGCCCTCTCACTCGGTGCCTGCCACTCGTTGCTACCATGACCACCACCATCCGCCAGTTCACCTCCTCCAGCTCCATCAAGGGCTCCTCTGGCCTGGGGGGTGGCTCGTCCCGCACCTCTTGCCGGCTGTCTGGTAGCCTGGGAGGAGGCTCCTGCAGGCTAGGGTCTGCCAGTGGCCTGGGAAGTGCCCTTGGGGGTAGCAGCTATTCTAGCTGCTACAGCTTTGGTTCTGGCAGTGGCTATGGAAGCAGCTTTGGGGGAGTTGATGGGCTGCTGGCTGGAGGTGAGAAGGCCACCATGCAGAACCTCAACGACCGCCTGGCCTCCTACCTGGACAAGGTACGCGCCCTGGAGGAGGCGAACACAGAGTTGGAGGTGAAGATCCGAGACTGGTACCAGAAGCAGGCCCCAGGGCCGGCCCGAGATTACAGCCACTACTACCAGGCCATCGAAGACCTGAAGAACAAGGTAGAGTCAGACCTGGGATGCTGGCAGGAGGGGATTGGTAGGGGCATGACTTCTCCTCCACCATCTCTTGCCTTTGATAAAGACCTGGAGTCCAGTGTAGGGGCTGCCACAGGGCTGCAGGGAGCCAAGGGCAGCTTGGTTCTGACTTGGCCTCCAGGACCTTGCCTTGGGGACCCCATGTGGCCCATATTATCATCTCATGGCCACGCAAATGTGGGAATAGGCTGAGCCAGGGACAAGCAGACCTCATGGGGCTGCTTGGAGCTTCTGTTTTCTCATCAGGAGCCTTCTGACCACCTCACGTGGCTGTCAGATAGGACAGGAGAGTACATGTGGAGGGCTGGGCCCACACAGCGAAACTGGCTATGTTGGTGTCTCCTTTGGAGTAGGGGAGTGCTGGAGGGGGTGTGGGGAGTTAATGGGGTAGGGGGTCTGAGTGAGCTCCTGATAGCATCTGCTAGAAGGTCAGACTCCTGAGGTCCCTGTCCCTCCTCTGCCACTCAAGATTGGGTCTCAACAATCCTTAGGAGTGGGGCTGCCTGGTAGAACCGAGGGCAAGGGCTTACAGGGTTGTGATTTCCAATGTGAAAACACTGCTGATGAGGGTTCCTCTCAGTCACCTTTTGGAGGAGGTTTTTGGGGGCACCATCTGGTGAACTGTAAACCAGGGGGTTCCTCATGCCCTCTCTCTGCTTTCTAGAATTCTGGGACAGTTTCTGCCCCAAGGACATTCTCCCATGGTCCTCCACCCTCCCAAGTTGAGCTTGGTATGGGGGGTCTATGTGGGGAGGCAGATGCTGGGGGGCAGGGGAGGCAAGTTTCAATCATCAGACTTCAGCTTGCCTGCCTAGGCCAGCAATGGCAGGCAGTGTAGGGGAGAAGCTGGGTGGGTAAAGGGGCTTCCCAGGCAGGAAAACCAGCTCAAAATCCGGGTCTCCGATGAGCCTTCCCACACCCAATGACCTGATTACTTGCCAATCTCCCCAGATCCTTGTGGCTACTGTGGACAACGCCAGCATCCTGCTGCAGATCGACAATGCCCGTCTGGCTGCTGATGACTTCCGCACCAAGTGAGTCCCAGCTCGTGGGTGACTTGGCAGACTGTGGGAGGATCTTGGGGCACCCCTCCTTATCCCAGGACTCCCTTGGTTGCATATTGGCAGGGCTAGGAGCTAAGAACCCATCCCTTAGTCCAGGATGAACATGTGTAATGGGTCAGCAGGTTCTGAAGTTCACTGGGCTTAGGCAGGTGGTAGAAGGGTCATAGAGCTGGGGTGGAGGGTAGGGGAGAGAGATTAAGAAATTGATGGGTCCTGCCTTGTGATGGCCCCATGGCCCAGGGCTCCAACTTGCTCTTACTTTGCCCTCTCATCTTCCCTCATAAGTACTTAGAGACCCTGGCAAAGTAAAGGCAGGCAAGGGGCTGGGACCTTGACCTTTAAAGAAGCCTGGACTGAAGTCTCTGGATCCCATTTCAGGTTTGAGACGGAGCAGGCGCTGCGTATGAGTGTGGAGGCCGACATCAATGGCCTGCGCAGGGTGCTGGACGAGCTGACCCTGGCCAGAGCTGACCTGGAGATGCAGATTGAGAATCTCAAGGAGGAGCTGGCCTACCTGAAGAAGAACCACGAGGAGGTGAGGTGGCAGGGCAGCAGGTCAAAGAGGATGAGGAGTGGGTGGCAGGGCCTGGGGGCCGGGCTTCGGTTGAGGTCGTGGGAGGGAGCAGAGAGGGCATTCTGGGGTTAGTCATGCTACTAAGCTGCCCTGTCTGCAGAGCCTTGTGGTCCAGAACTAGCATGCAGCAAAGTCTCTCTATGTACCACCTTGTTTCCCTGCATCCAGAGAACTTCCCAGGGCCTGCTGAGGCCTTGATACCTGTCTGAGTCTCTCTCACAATGACAGCAGATAATTGAGGTTGTTGAATGCTTGTTTCAGGTCTAACCCTCAAATATGGGATCTATATAGATGTTTGGAAACTGGAGGGGAAATTTTGGGGGCAAAGGCCTAAGAATTTGTTTTGTTTTTTTTGAACTCAAGGACTCACACTTGCTAAGCAGGCACTCTAACACTTGAGCCATTCCACCAGCTCCTAGATTTTGTTTCTTGGAGAGCCCTCAGTCTAATGAGGGAGGCTCAGTCTGATGGTGGTGACAGAAACTATACAGAGAGGGGAACAAAAATCCTTAGGAGGGTGAACAGAACAAAGGAGAGGTAGGTCCAGATATGGAACACATCTTTTTTCTCCCCAGGAGATGAGTTCCCTGCGAGGCCAGGTGGGCGGTGAGATCAACGTGGAGATGGACGCCGCCCCTGGTGTGGACTTGAGCCGCATCCTGTCTGAGATGCGAGACCAGTATGAGAAGATGGCAGAGAAGAACCGCAAGGATGCTGAGGACTGGTTCTTCAGCAAGGTGAGGGCTGCTGCAGGCAGTGAGCTGCATGGACCCCAGGGGTCAGGGTTGCCCATTGCATTAATAGATCTACAGCTTAGCTAGAGCTGGGATTTGGGGGATGGGTGAGGAGGGAGGTGAGGAGTCCCTG